TGAGAGAGAGAGAGAGATTGAGAGAGAGAGAGAGAGAGAGAGAGAGATTGAGAGCTAGAGATAGAGAGATAGAGAGCGGTGTTGTTGGACTCACCGAGTACGAGCAGCAGAAGAACTTGTTGCGGGAGCCGAGCCACCATTGTAGGCTCCACCGCTCGCACATTTATGTATTGAAATCGGCCGATCACACCGTTCACCGATTCTACTCTCACGATCACAGCCGGCCCTTGCAACAACATTCATTTAACGTTCCTCCCAGGTTTCCTCGGGTGGCCCCTTTCTCCGCCTCGCTGACACTGCTCTGCCACGCTGCCGGGGCCGGGGGCCGTTGCCGCACAGAGGCACAAACACGCTTGCACAGCCACAAAATCAGAATCGATCCCACACTGGTCACGCACGTATTTTCCGCGCGTGAACACAAATCGGCCGGCGCGGTCGGGAGCCGCGGTTTACGATCCTGCTCTGGCCACACTCGCGGAACGCGCGCTTTCCACCCGATCAGCTCGTTTTCTCTTCTACCCGCACCGGGATTCTATCGAACGCATGATCGGACTCCGCCGCGCTGAAATATCATTGGACGATTCGACGTGCAAATTGCCGGCGACAAGCGTGTGCGACGCTTGATCGCGAGGATTTGCCTGCCGAGTGATGCTACACCTCCGCGAATCCCCTGATGACGATTCGATCGGATCGGTATTCGAGCGGCCCGCGACCGCTGTCCTCGTTATCCGAACGCGACAAATATTTCCTGGACACGCAGAAAGGCTGACCGGCCGCAATCGCAAGAATTACCCGCGAGGGAAGGCGGACCTGGCACCGATGGCGAAGAGGATTCCGATGATCAACGCGTATGGTCGCGCCGGTGTAATTTACGAGAAAGCTTAATCAGCCGGTCGATGCGTTCGCTGGAACAATAAGTCCTTTTTGATTAACTGTGTATTGGATCGGTCGGGAAGTTCTGGTGTTGCCGGACGTCGGTGATTACTTGAATGCGGATTTCATGTGTTTGTCACAAAAATGACTTGCTCCGATGCAAAACATTGAAATCAATTGAAAATACCGTTTCGTGCTGTCCGCGACTGGCTAAAATTCTTAACGAAAGAGACGAGTAGCTGTTTAGTTCCTGTATCTGCAATTAGTGTAGACAATTTTCATTTTGCGTAAAAATTCGCAGTCTAGCGATCACGAATGCGTACGTTTGAATTTTATTTTGTTTGGTGCCGCATTGTGTACTGGAAAAAGATAGGTCAGAAGTTCGAGCAGATTTTGTTGATGGCACGCGTAAAGCAGAAATAGAGCACTTTAAGCACTGGTTTATAATTTTCTGAATCAATAGCATGCACGATTACATTCGGTAAACTGCTTGCTCGATACGCCGCGCGTTATTTGCAATCGATCTTGCAAACCACTAATTGAGGCCACGTAAGTGGTTTATGTGTTACCTTCAGTGAAAGAGCTGTATTACCGATAGCTTATTCTCCTATTTGGGATTGATGCGATTATCGACTGTATTACGTTGCAACATCGTTGCAACATCATGCAACATCATCACGGACGTGTGCCTTATAATGTTAATATATTGATGTTAGAACATTTACAAAACGGATTCGAACCCATCGGACTTTTGTCATTAATATTAATTTTTAATCGAACGTTATTAATACATCGATTACGGTAAAGACTTCCTCATTCGAACATTGATTTTTACAGTAATTTAGTATTCGAACATCCTATTATCTAAACATTGTATTATTTAGATACATTATCAGCCAGTGGAGAACTTAAATGAAAAATGTTCAGATAATAGAACGTTTTGGTCTCTACTGTACATCTGAGAAATTTCAAATATTTGGAACAAAGAAGTAAGTTTTAGATATTAGGTGTTCAAGTATCGATGGTACAATGAGGAAGAAAAAGTTGCGACGGCGATGGAAATTTTGCGGCTAATCGGATCCTCTTCCGGCAAAGTTAATCTTTTCGGAAACAGGAAATTGTCTAGAAGCAAATGTTGGATCGTTTTGTACGACGAACACCGTGGGCCATCCGTAGATGTTTTTGCGTTCGTCCGATTGCTATCACCGATTGTTGACTCTTAAGCGCCACGTCTAACACGTGCCAAGAGAAACCTAAAACTCAGCCTCTTCGTCGACGAAGCCACCGATGGGCTAACATCAGAAACTCGAAGACACCGTGAACAAGTATATGTATAAGCAGCGAAAACTTTTGCGTAAACGTCAGAACTCCGGGCCGCATTATAGCCGGCACTCTGTCGAATTCGATAAAATACAACCTCCAACCAAAATGGTTCTAACTACAATTTAACTTTCCGGTTCCGTGTACTGGATTAGTTCTATGACGTGCGCGTGCATCGTCTTGAACATTATTTTATTTGTTACGCGCATAAAACACGACGGATTCGTATAATTTTAAAAGCAAATCTTTTTAAAGCGAACCTAGTACAACGCGCGGCAAGTTCTTATAATAAATAGTTTCTACGAGGGAACACTTTATCGATGAGATGCTTCTATCGGGAACAATGACCTGTCATTAGGGCAGCTTTAGAAAGCACGGGCAAAGATTGATCGTTCTCCTCGAATTATTGCGTCCTGTAAATTGATTGATACGTTGCAACGAACATTTAAGGATACGCTTAAAAATTATTAAACGCCACGTCGAGTCCGTTTTCAATGATCGTGTATCGAGATTTAGTTGTTGGACCCAAACTCTACCGATCTCCGTACGATCCCTTGCACTCGAAGCTATTTTAATTCGAAATGAAAAACATGTCGTCTTGCGAGGTGCAGTCTTAGCAGTATTTAAAATTTTATACGGTTAAAATTATTTTGGAACGCGATACGGCAAATTTCAGCGGTGCACTCGGACTCGAGTATGGAGGATTAATGTAATATTTGGAGCAGAACAACGATTATAATAAATCCTGCGAATTTCTGCCCGAGCTTCGTATATTTAACGTTTCCACGGACTAATTTCCCAAGCACAAGAGAAACCTTAATTATTTCAGTGCTGATTTTCTTGACACGCCAAGATTAAATTGGTATAATTTTTTAATGAACAGGGTGATCAAAATTTCGCGAATATCCTAGCACTTGCGACAAGAAGCTTATACCGCGGCACCTCTCTGTGCATGTATATATGTATTCAAGCATCGAGTGTCCTCAGGGAAAGTGTGACGAAGCACCGACCGATCGAATCGAGAACCGGCCAGCCTGTCCTTTTCACGGCTCGCCGCTGCGCCGCTGCTCCAGAATCCGTTCCTTCGATGCAATTAGCCTCGTTAATCGATTCGACGGGGTTTCGGTGCTCGTATTTTTCCCGGGCAACGTAAATCCTGAGGCCTTTTGTAATTGCAATTTCGTCGAAACACCGGCTGGCCGGCTCGCCGGAGACAAAGCACTCGATATTTTATCGAGTGTCCACTTCTCCGCGCTTCTCTCCGCGTTTCTATCCGCGCGTTTCTCTCCGCGCGTTTCTCTCCGCGCGGTTCACGGCTCGCGATTACCGGCGGGTCGACGATAATCTGCCGGAATATTTAGCGCGGGGCTTCCTCTAAAGTCCGCGTTTTCCTTTTTTCATTAAGGACCAGCGCGGGCGACTGCGGACAAGCCGTTGTACGCGGTAATTAGCGAGCCCTGACGCGGCTTCTTTATATCGTCCCGGGCAAATTGTTTGCCCCGGCTGTTAATCATCCGGCTGGCTGGAAAATAAAAACCGCTCGTTTCGCATCCGGCCAGCTTGGATTAGAGCCGGCCGGGGATCGTGAATCGCCGCGGAAATCGCGGCCGGCTTCTGTCCGCGAAACCCGCGTTCGAACTTTTTCGCGTGTTTTTCCTTGGCCGGCTGCGTATCTGTGACGGCATGAAGCGGCACGGTGCTTCGCCGAACTGGCCGGATTACGATTTTTTTCGACGATTCCGAAAGTCGATTTCGCAAGCCCCGGTACCGTCGGCTTCGTCAATAACGCGCGAGCGTATTCTCGCGTAAACGAGAGCGAAAGAATCGCTTACAGGGCAATCGACGCGTTTCCCGGATCGAGTGCAAGGCGCTGCGTGATTTCAATCTCGAATTAACCTCTGTTTACCGCGGCACCGCGTTCGATACCGTTGAACTTTCCCATTTTCTTTCTCTTCCTCTCGCTTTCTCTATCTCTTTCCGTACACCGGCAAAACCGGTGCAAGATTCGCCGGACGAGCTTTCGAAAAGCGGGCCGGAACTCGCGGCGATGATGAAGAGCACTTTCATAAAACGCGTGTAGACATCGGAGCTAAAAGCTTCCGGGGGCTCGCGACGTTAACGCGATCAGTTCGATTCGATCGGATACGTATACGCCGGGCGTGGAGCCGCGAAGCGAGGGGGCCCCGATTAAAAGCGGAACGAATAAAAATTTCAGGGTAATCCGATCACGTAATTCAGCCGGCGCGCTCCATACCCGCCCGAATTATCTTATCAAACCCGTTCCTCGAATTATGGCGATCTCCCGAGGCCGCTTGGCCGGCTGCCGAGATTTTTCGTGGATATTTTTGTCGCAGCCGTGCATCGGTCCCTGCTCCGTCCGAGCCGATCGACTAAAATGTAACGCGCGGAGGCATAGGCATCCTCTCGTCCCGAGCAGAAACGATCTGTCTACCGTTCGCACAGCGGCCGTTTCGAGCGTCGGATCGGCCTCGATCGATCGGCGGGGGACCGGTACGCGATCGTCGCGCGTCCCTCGATCCGGGTTCCCGAGATTTCAGCGAACACAAATCGGCTTCCCACTGCCTGCCGGCCACTGGTTTCCGTTCCGGCGATCGGGTTCACACGTGGCCCAGCCACCGACGAATGAAAAATCGCGTGTCCCGCTCCGTTTGGGGAGGAAAGAGCCACCGGCAACGACGCGTCGCACGCGGAGTCTCGCCGCCGACTGACTAGCGCGACTCTTCTTCGGCCACCCCTCCTGCCTGCGTCGCGGTGCTCCTCGACGCGGGCACCAGACGCGAAAGCGCCGGTTTCGCCCGGCTCTCTGCAAGCTTCCAGCCTTGGAACTTTAATAAGATAGTTTATGCTCGCGGGATTCGCCCCTTGACAAAGGGCCGAGTGTTAACTCGCCCCGCCGATGGTTTTTCATTTTGTGAAACGACGCACGGCCGCACCTTTTCCCCGAAAAATTGGCCGGAATGTAATTTGTCCGAGTGCCGCGTAGACGTGGATCGTCAAAGTCGACGAATTCGCGTGCTTCGTAACACCCTTTATCGACGGTAGTGTCTTTTGCCCGTCGACTGCCGTGCCAACGACTAGAAATATTTCATAAAATCGATATGTTCTACTTAATTAAAGTTTGTAATATATTCTGTTTAATTGAGCTTTTTTTAGATATTGTATTCAATTTAATTAAAATATCCTATTTAATTAAATTGAAATTGAAGAAGAGAGAGAGTTAAGCTTAAAAATTAATTTTCAAACCTGAGAATATAATTCTGTAACCCGCACATGAGTGACGCGGCAATCAAAGGGTTAACGTATCAAGCTGAAATTTAGCCTCAAAGGGACCATTTGTAGAATGTGTTATCATTAAACTGTATGTTATCAAGATAAACTTTGAACGTATGCAAAAATTTAGAGAAAAAGTAGCGATAGTAAGATGCGACTTCAAATAACATGTCAACTATAATGTACAATCCAAAAATTTTGCCCTTTTTCACCCCTTTTTGTGATATACAAGATTAAAGTGTCAAGTAGTGTCCATCAACACTTCTTAAGCGTTGGTGAAACTTCTTCCAGCGATCAATAGCCAGCACGTTTTTCATCGTCAACTTTTAAAGCAGTTTTTAGTTTCGCGAAGTTGGCGATCGCAGTTGCAAAAAGAGGCAGGTTAAATATTTTTTTGCGCGCCCTGTACGATATTAAAAGCGGCGTATGTTACTTGCCTGTCGTCCTTGGTCAAATTTATCCATAACTTCAAAGTATGTATCTCGATGTCAACCATCGTATTTACGACCCCTGAACTTATTACCAGAGGTAGTAGACTGCACAGAACTCTAAGGACAGTCTTCGTAGAAAAGTTTATTAACGATTTTTGTCAGTAAGCTACAACTAAGGAACGAACAGTAGTAATAGTAACAGTAATATGTAATATAAGAGTCGAAGAAATATTCGATGTGTCTTATGCATAAATATAATAATATCGAGCATCGTTCGTATTCATCGAATAAAAATTCATTCAGTTGCCAAATAAATGCATTGTGAAATATCTGACCGGAACCTTGACAGCTGTTTTTACCCTTTGAATATGTATGATAGCTACTAGAAAGAAGCATATATGTTGCATGTTTTGTCAAGTTCCATATCATATGCATATGTATGAATTTCAGTTCCCTCTGTTTCGCCAAAAATTCGTGGATTATTTCTTAATTATCGCGTTCAATAAATTAATATTTACACAAAGTTCAGTAATGTCTCTCTAATTGACACTCGGATTATTCACAAGAATGGACAATTTTGTAAGAGGAGATACGATTGCTCGAGCCTTGTGGCTCGTTTTTTATGGTTATCGATTGCCNGTTGGCGATCGCAGTTGCAAAAAGAGGCAGGTTAAATATTTTTTTGCGCGCCCTGTACGATATTAAAAGCGGCGTATGTTACTTGCCTGTCGTCCTTGGTCAAATTTATCCATAACTTCAAAGTATGTATCTCGATGTCAACCATCGTATTTACGACCCCTGAACTTATTACCAGAGGTAGTAGACTGCACAGAACTCTAAGGACAGTCTTCGTAGAAAAGTTTATTAACGATTTTTGTCAGTAAGCTACAACTAAGGAACGAACAGTAGTAATAGTAACAGTAATATGTAATATAAGAGTCGAAGAAATATTCGATGTGTCTTATGCATAAATATAATAATATCGAGCATCGTTCGTATTCATCGAATAAAAATTCATTCAGTTGCCAAATAAATGCATTGTGAAATATCTGACCGGAACCTTGACAGCTGTTTTTACCCTTTGAATATGTATGATAGCTACTAGAAAGAAGCATATATGTTGCATGTTTTGTCAAGTTCCATATCATATGCATATGTATGAATTTCAGTTCCCTCTGTTTCGCCAAAAATTCGTGGATTATTTCTTAATTATCGCGTTCAATAAATTAATATTTACACAAAGTTCAGTAATGTCTCTCTAATTGACACTCGGATTATTCACAAGAATGGACAATTTTGTAAGAGGAGATACGATTGCTCGAGCCTTGTGGCTCGTTTTTTATGGTTATCGATTGCCAACAACTATAAAAACGAGCTGCAAGGCTCGAATAATCGTATCTCCTCGCCCAAAATTGTCCATTTCTGCGCACAATCTAAGCGTCAAATAGGAAGACATTATTGTATTCGAAAAATAACATTCGAAACAACATACAGTTGCACATAAATTTGTAGTTCTTCAGCATTTCGCATTCTGAAGCTTCGTTTCCAATCATGTTAATAATTAAAAACCGATAGTTTCTAAAAGAAAAAGATCCTAGTCATAATCTTCTCTCGACCTACCATTTGGGAATTCGCAACATCTGTCGCATTGACTTATTTTCAATTACACGAGATTGTTAAACGAATAACTTTGCCGAGGTGTAAGCATCGACGAGATAATCATGTTGTCGTGTATGCATTATCGTTGCGTAAACGTACAGAAGATGGGGTTGACATTGCATCAGGTAGACAATGAAATTCTGACAGCGGAGTTTAACAGTGACAAACTGATTAAAAGAATCGATTTATTTTGATTAATTGTTCCTGTCCTGGCGACGTCCTGAAAGACAAACGGTTCGAACGAGAAAATAGCTGAAGTTGTCGGGCTTCGATAAGCTGGCGAATTATGGTAGAACCGATCGTTCTTTATGAATCGTAGCGCAGAATATAGGCCAGTGCAGCCTGCGAAAAAGAGGACAAAGAAAAAGAATGGTTATTATTTTAACTATCGTTTAGACGCATCCGCTAGAACCGCTTTTTCTTGCTCTCTCGGCGCTTAAAAACCGTTGAAACAACGATACCGCGATTCTTGAAAAAACACGGACTGCGATCGTTGTTTCATATTTGTTTCGTATTTCCTACGCAGAAGAAGGATTTGCACATGCAGAATATTCATGAAACTCAGCGATGCCTATTCCTCTCGGCAACGGAATCGCGATGAAATGGTACTCGTCGCAAGTGGTGAATATAAAATGTACAACAATCTACGCACTCCAGTGTTTGTTATACTTTTCGGCTCCACAGTAAACGTGTCAAGTGGAACACGATTCGAGAACTGCTGCTTCAGACGATTGAGACCGCGTCTGCAGAAAAGTGTTAATTCAGGAAGGTGTACGGCTCGCTCAATGTCTCCGTTCTCTTTCCAGCTTCACAAGAAGCTTTCGAGAGGGTCGCTGCAGTGCCTTTCGAATAAGAGCAATTTAACGGCATCGCCTCAGAAATATTTAACAGCGTCTCAAGTAAATAAACGAGCGGGGCTGAAGCAAAGTAGGAGGGGGCCCTGGCCGAACCAGCCGTACGGAGGGACAAATTTGCCTTAACACAGGCGAGAATACGAAATCAATATCCGAGTTCGTACAACATTTCAAAGGTATCGACTAATTTGTGTAGTTTCTCGGGCCTGCCGGGTCTGCTGTGTGCCGTTTTGCTATTTGATGACGCCCCCCCTGGAAAGTTGACAGTATTCTCTCTGAATTCCGTTGCCGTACCGTGGCACCGTAAACATTGACATTGGGAATCTCACGATCGGCAGAGACCGGCGCAAATAGACAACAAGTAGGTTTCGTCATTGGGTAATGAGAATTTTATCGTGATTGCGGAGGGAACAACGGCGTCCACAATCAGAGGCTCCCGGGACAGGTTTTTCCTTGGACTCGCGAAAGCCACCGAGAACTCGTTCCTTCGTTTCGAGACTTTCTTCCCAAGTCCCCCCCCTTCCTCCCCCTTCCACGCAAACTCATTCTGTTTCCTCGTGCTGTCCGCGGAACAACGTCGGAATCGGCGACGACCGGCGCGGCGCGGCGCGCTGCGACCGCGTCGGCCGATAATTGTCGCGTAATTGTCGTCTCGTTGCCGCACCTGGGACAAATGGGAACGTATTATTGGTGGAAAGACTCATATCAATCCCGAGATGTTTACTCAGGCTATTGACAGCGACCGAAGCTGGATTAGTCAACATTTATTCTCGGAAGCGAGCGCGTCGATACTTTGCTCCGTAAGTGATCGATAGTTCGCAATTATGCGTCCCTTAGACAAATTTAAACAGTGTAATTAATGGACTGCGGATTTAGGAATTTATGCCAAAATCGAGTAATTCAAAATTGACGATTAATTTCTTTTTATAATAAATTGTAATAGATGCCGAGATGATCGTTTATATTAACTTTTGGTTGATCTTACGAATGATATTTTATAGTATAGTATTTACAACTAGATTTATTGTATTTTAAAAATGAATAGTATTTATAAGTGTATATTACATTCTACAAATGTATATTATTTATAAATACCAATAACATATTCTTCGAATTTTATATTTTACAACAGAATAGCATCTATGAAGAAAATATGTAAATCATGTAACGTTTGAAATGTTTACTTTGTTTAAAGAAAATTTGCTACGATATTGTACTGATAATGATCAATATAATTATAATTAATTAATTGATCATAAAAGTGCCATAATTATTAGTCATTTTATCTCCTTGAGAATTCGGAATCAATTTTAGTATAAATTAGATCAGTCTTCCATTTTTATGCTCGCCTCATTCAATGTCAAAACAATAAATTCTCAACTAATTTGATTCCAAAATAACTTATGTTACGAACAACATAAAAATGATCTGTGAGCTCTGCTCCAGCCGCAACGCTCGTTCGTTCCACTGTGCGCCGG